GCTCAAGTGGTAGAGCGCTCGCCTTGAGCTGAAGAGCTGAGGGACAGCGCCCAGGCCCAGAGTTCAAGCCCCACGACCGACAAAAAAAAAAAAACCAAACAACTGTAATTAGGAACATATATGCAAAAATGTAACTGAAGTATTAAAATGAGCACTAAAAAACTTTTGTGTCAGTCCTGGGACTTGAACTCAGGACCTTGGGCACTGTCCCTGAGCTTCTTTTTGCTCAAGGCTAGCATTCTGCCACTTAAGCCATAGCTCCACTTCTGGTTTTCTACTGGTTAATTGGAGATAAGAGACTCATAGTCAGCCGGGTGCTGGTGGCTCACGCCTGTAATCCTAGCTACTCAGGAGGCTGAGATCTGAGGATCGCGGTTCAAATCCAGCCTGGGCAGGGGAGTCCGTGAGACTCCTATCTCCAATAAACCACCAGAAAACCGGAAGTGGCGCTGTAGCTCAAGTGGTAGAGCACCCCCCTTGAGCTGAAGAGCTGAGGGACAGCGCCCAGGCCAAGAGTTCAAGCACCACGACCGACAAAAAAAAATAAAATAAAAAAGAGACTCATAGTCTTTCTTGTCTGGCCTGGCTTCAAATTGCAATCCTCAGATCTCAGCCTTCTGAGTAGCTAGGATTGTAAGCATGAGCTACCAGCAGCACAGTGAGTACCATAATTATTATGAGAAAATTAACAATGCAAAACAATTTAATAACCATCATGTTGCACTGTTCAGTGTTGAAGTGAATATGAGAAAAAGCTAACTCCTCTCCATTATTGATGGAAATAAGTATTGGTACAACCATAGTGGTACCAGTCAGTGGGATAAGTTGGCCTTTTCCAGTAAATTGAAGATGTACACAGCTGTGACCCTGCATTTCCATTTTAAAGTCTTCACTGTGACCTGAAGAAACTTTCACATATGTGTGCGAGGGGCAAAAACTGTTACACTGCTCACAGTGGCAAAAGTAATCTCAATATGAATCTAGTCAACTGGGTGTGGTAATTACACCTGTAATCCAAGTACTTAAGAGAATGAGGTAGAGGGGCTGGGAAGGTGGCTCAGTGGTAGAGTGCTTGCCTTGCATGCATGAGACCCTGGGTTCTATTCCTCAGCACCACAATAGCAGAAAAAGCTGGAAGTGGCGCTGTGGCTCAAGTGGTAGAGCGCTAGCCTTGAGCTGAAGAGCTGAGGGACAGCGCCCAGACCCAGAGTTCAGGCCCTACGACTGGACCCCCCCCCCAAAAAAAAATCAGAAATCTCATCAGACTCTTATCTTGATGTCTAATAGACTATTCAACACATGCCCAGACAGGGCCAAGATCAGGGCTCGTGGCTGAGTGATTTGTGCACCATATGAAAATCTAGGTGAGAGCTATAATCTAGGATTTTGCTTATTGGAACTGGGGCCCTGAGCTACATCCTTTCACATGGCCATCTTTCTCTAACTGACCACCCACATACTTCCTTCCTAGTATTTACTCAGTCCTCTGCCCATCACTAGATAGTCCTTTACTGACCATCTGTGGAGCCCCCTGGCCCTTAACTCTTCACCCCTTTATTTTACGTCATGTAATTTACTGCCACCTGTTATGTATTGGTGCAATATCCTTCTACTGTGGGAATGAGAGTTTTGTTTTGATCCACTGCAGTGTTCCCTAGTGCTTAGAAGTAGGTGAACAGATGAACTAAAATCATGAAATCATCAGACTTAAACATAGCCCAGTAGCTCATACCATGTTATGCACACCATAGCCCCCGTTACTCAGGAAGATGAGGCAGGTTTGCTTGAGCCCTTGAGTTCAAGACCATTCAGGCAACATAGTGAGGACCCCCAACTCCTAAAACAAAGGGGAATAAACCCTCCAAAACATGGGCCAGGCTAAGCTGATTCCACATGATCACAGTGTGGCTTTTAGTGGATTAGGCTGACTGTAGATCAAAGGAAAAGGAAGAGAAGGCTGTCCTGTCATGGGCTGAAATTGTCAATAAGACAATGTAAATTGTCTTCATTTACAAGAAAGCCTCAGCATGAGCAGCCATTTGACTAAGCCCAGTGTTTGAGAAATAAGCACTCTCCTTCTGGCTTCTTACCTCTTCCTTGGTGTAGTACTTCAGGAGGCCTTCTCTTGCCAGAAGGACAAACCTCCTCCTCAGGAACTGAGCATTGTCCCTTCCCCGCTTCCACAGGATTCCTTCACGGTTACCTTCAACCACCCAGGACAACAAGGAGTGAACACACATAACCTCAGATGAGTACTCAGCCAATGAACTACTTGGGGCCTTGGGAGAGGAAAGAGCCCTCTGTCTGTTGCCCAAACTTGGCTATTACAGCTGCATGACCCAAGGATCCTGTCTGAAGCCAACTCTGTGATACCTTATTTCAGCCTGACTTCTCCCACTGTGCAAGATCTTTCTTCCTTGGTCTCATTACAAGACACAAAAAGCTCTTAAAAAGGCTAAATCCTGCTGGGCACTTATGGCTCATGCCTGCAATCTTAGCTACTTAGGAAGCTGAACTCTGAGGATCTTAGTTCAAAGCCAGCTGAGGCAGGAAAGTCCGTGAGACTCTTATCTCCAATTAATCATAGAAAAAGCTGGAAGTGGCACTCTGGCTCAAGTGGTAGCCTTGAGCCAAAGGAGCCCAGGGACAGCGCCCAGGCCCAGAGTTCAAGCCCCATGACCAGCAAAAAAAAATTTTAAAGAAAGAAAGAAGGAAGGAAAGAGAGGAAAGAAAGAAAGAAAGAGGAAGGAAGGAAGGAAGGAAGGAAGGAAGGAAGGAAGGAAGGAAGGAAAAAGAAGAGTTCCATGGCTCATGTTTATAAATGTAAATACTCAGGGAGCAGAGACAAGAAGGTTGTGGTTCAAGACCAACCTAGGCAAAAAGTTAATGAGAACCTATTTCAAAGAACAAGCTGGGTGTGATTATCACACTTGTAATCCCAGCTATGTGGGAGGCAGAGGTAGGAGGATCAAAACCTGAAACCATCTTGACAAAAGCATGAGACCCTATCTAGAAAAAACTAACTAAAGGCAAAAGGGTCTGTAGTCATGACTTGAGAGATAGACCCCTGGCCTAGAAAGCTCAAAGCCTTGCTAAATCATAAGAAACTGGACTTATCCTCAAAGAGTTCTAAATGTATATAATCCTACCCAACTTCACATCGACACCAGACTACTGAAAGTTTGGAAATTAAGCTGAGCAAGCACTGGTGACTCGTGTCTGTAATCCTAGCTACTCAGAAGGCTGAGATCTAAGGATCACTGTTTGAAGCCAGCCCAGGAAGACTCCAATTAACCAGCAAAAAGCCAGAATTGGAGCTGTGGCTCAAGTGGTAGAGCACTAGCCCTGAGCAAGAAAGCTCAATGACAGCATCCAGGCCCCAAGTTCAAGTCCCAGGACCAGCACACCACACACACACACACACACACACACACACACACACACACACACTTTTGGGAATAAATAGCCTTGGGGCAACTGCTGGCTTAAAGAACGATTTGAGCCCCTCATAGCCAAGAGAATTGAGTATTGGCTGGCTCTGGTTCTGTGCCTCTTGTTCTCTGGGTCAGTGTCAGCTTGGATTCAGGTCAGTGAGGTGAAATGCACTATTGACTTGTTCATGAAGCCGTGCCCCACTCAGGGCAAAAAGGGAGATAGAAATCCAGCCTCTGCCGGGCGCTGGTGGCTCACGCCTGTAATCCTAGCTACTCAGGAGGCTGAGATCTGAGGATCATGGTTCAAAGCCAGCCCGGGCAGGAGAGACCATGAGACTCCTATCTCCAATAAACTACCAGAAAACCGGAAGTGGCGCTGTAGCTCAAGTGGTAGAGTGCTCGCCTTGAGCTGAAGAGCTGAGGGACAGCGCCCAGGCCCAGAGTTCAGGCCCCACGACCGACAAAAAGAAAAAAAGAAATCCAGCCTCTTCCTCACCAAGCCCAGAGCTGCTCCTGGACCTACATTAGCAAGGAGCAGAGATGTTGTTCTAATTGGTCTGCCAGTGGGAGAGGACTCTCAGTTCACACTAGGACTCATTGAAGCCCTGTTAGGACTTGGCACCCATGTGCTTCTCTGCAGTCAGACCACACGTGTGCATGGACCCGAGGTTCCCAGGCAGAGGAAACCCACACCTTGACTTCTGAGGGTGGAGCCAAGGCAGCAGGCATCTCTTGGGTGAAACTTTCTCCTTACTTCATGTATTTGCTCTCTAGAGCTCATTAGAACAGAAATATCAAAAGATAAGAAAATAACTTTACCTGAACTGGAGACGGTTTTCCCATCAGCCATGAACTCCTGTCTCTCATACTTAGCTCGAATCCACTGTTCCTTTAAGACCCTAATAAGAAAGGTGCTTTGGTTAGCTTTGTGTCTGCTGAAGTGTCTTCCTACAGCTGAGGGCAGGCACATCATAATAGCTGCCTGCTGCTGCCAGGTGGGGAGGGGGAAGCCTCAGGACTGTTTACATTGGATGATGGGTAGTTCTCTATCTTGGGGAGCTGTTCTGGGCTTTGTAGAATGTGAAACTGTATGTCTGGTCTCTTTACTAGTTCTCAGTAACACCCACAATCCAGGAGTAATATTCAGACTATCACACATTACCAAATACCTCCTATAAGGAAGTTGTATTTTTTGTCCCCGTGGATCCTCTGAGAATCCTGGATTATTCCAACACCAGGCTTAGCCTCCTAGGTCAGTATGGAAGAACCCTGGATGCCTACCCCACTTCCTCCTACTGTATATTCAAGCTTGAGCTATGACAGTCCAAGAGACTCTTCCTGAGCCAGCTCATGAACCCAGGCACTGGGGCCTGGCTACCTGGGATGTGATATATTCTATCAATGATCCATTGTGTGACCAAGAGCTAGTTACTTCACTCCTTCAAATTTTGGAAACACAACAGTAACATTGTAGCAGCCTACACCACAGTGCTTGAGAGATTTTGATGCATGTAAAGAGCCTAGCACTGTGTACATGTTTAATGCCATCTCAGTCAAGTGACTCCTGAAGAAAAACCATTAAACCAAGAGCAGACTTATTTTAATTGTACCTTTCCCAGGTACATGTTCCAAGGCTTACATGCCCTTACTCCCTAAGCAAAAGAATGACCAAGAGTGGAGTATTTGGCCAAAACTGGTCATCTAGAGGTCTGATCTTCCCTGGGCTCTATGAGCTGAAAGGACTAAATCTGAAACAGAGATTGACTAGAAGCCATTCCCAGGGATCCTGCTGGGAAGTTTGGTTGTAGATTGGTGCCTGGAAGTGACCTTGTTGGCAGTAGCAGGAAGAAAGTCTGGCAAGGATGAAATATGCAGGGCTGGGAGCCAGAGAGTAAGACCTGATGATGTTTGAATCCTGGCTTGATTCTTCCTGAGGGTGATTCCTCCTCTATCCTTTGATGGTCTGGTTCCCCAGAACCCATAAATTCTCCTTTTACCTAAGCCAGCTTAAATTATCTATCTATCTGTCTGTCTGTCTGTCTGTCTGTCTATCTATCTATCTATCTATCATCTATCAATTTATCTATCTACCCATCCATCCATCTTCAGCAGTAGTGGGGTTTGAATTCAGGACCTTGTGCTTGCTAGACAGGTATTCAACCACTTAGGCCGCATCTTTAGCCCTTTTTCATTGGTTACTTCTTGAATAGGGTCTTGATATTTTTGCCCAGGACAGCCTCATCCATGATCCTTCTATTTATGTCTCCCCTTTAGATGATTGGTGTGAGACATTTTTGCACCCAATTTTTTTTAATTGGTTGAGATAGCCATGTCGATTCCTCAGTACCACATAAGCCAAAAAAGCCAGAAGTGGTGCTGTGGTTCAAGTGGTAGAGCGCTAGCCTTGAGCTGAAGAGCTGAGAGACAGTGCCCAGGCCCAGAGTTCAGGCCTCACAACCGACAATAAATAAATTAATTAAATTTAATTTTTTTAAATGTGTAAAGAATCTTTCCAGATCTAAGGCTGGTGGCTAATATCTATAATCCTAGCTACTCAGGAAGCTGAGATGTAATATCTATAATCCTAGCTACTCAGGAAGCTGAGATGTGAGGATTCCTGTTCAAGGCCAGCCCTGGCAGAAAAGATCTTGAGATTGCATCACCAATTAACCAACAAAAATCCAGAAGTGGAGGTATGGATCAAGTGGTACAGCCACCAGTCTTGAACAAAAGAAAGCCAAGAATGTGAAGCCCTGAGTTTAAGCCCTAGTACCTCCCCTCCTCCCCCCAGAACAAACAACAAACAAGCAAACAAACAAAAATCCCTGGTCTTCTGCATGCAAAACGGTGCTTTCCCTCCCACTCCACATTCTACCAATAGCTTTTGGGGATGTCTACATGTTAAGAAATTATAGAACTTCCGGGTCTAGTTATAAAGTTTGTATACTGTCCCTAAGGTTATGACCAGGGATCTGCAGCTCAGGTGAGACTGCTTTCCAAGACAACCTGAGCCTGGTGGATCAGCTCTAAACCAACATTCAGAAACTGACCTGACTCACCTACCAGTGTTTCTGTCCTCTCCAGGCTATGAGAACATTAGAGGCAGGAGGACAGATCTTTGAGAAAACCCTTCAGTTCACAGATATGCAAACTGAGATCCAGAGAGGGGAAGGGACTCCAGGACAAGAGAGATAGAGGCTGTGTCTTCCACAACTGTACCAAATGCTTTCTTGAATCTGTTGATAAGGCCACAGAAAAGCCCACACTAGACAAAGGCCGTAGGAATAAGAGGTGAAAAGCCCACACTAGACAAAGGCCGTAGGAATAAGAGGTGAATAGGGAACCAGGAAAACCCCTCACCCAGCTTTTAAACAATCAGGCACTTGGTCTGGGATCAGGCTTCGTGGTAGAGTGCTTGCCTAGCATGCATGAAGCTGTGGGTTGATTCCTCAGTACCACATAGGCAGAAAAAGCCAGAAGTGGCGCTATGGCTCAAGTGGTAAAGTGCTAGCTAGCCTTGAGCAAAAGAAGCTCAGGGACAGTGCCCAGGCCCTGAGTTCAAGCCTCATGGCTGACAGGAAAAAAACAAACAAAAAAAGAATCAGGCACTTACAGGCAGTCATTGGCCTGGGGGATGTAGTAGAAAGCTGGAACTCTGGCTTCGAACTTGGCTTTCACACGGAGGTTCCCATTGTGGGTCATAAACTGCAAGACAACAGCAATTTGGGGTAATATTAAAATTCAAACGAAATAAAAGTGAAATGAAACTATGATCTACCCAGAAGGCCATGTGCTCACCAGCATGGAAGCTGGGTCAGGAGAAACTGCCTCCAGAATGACACTCTTCACCTTGGGAAGTCCCAGGCTGGAACATTACCCATGCTCCTATAGGAACAGTGCTTTATCATTCTCACACATCAGCTCATTGGAGCCTCTCCACCATTTAACATTACCATCTGCATTTGTGAGATGAGGAAACAGAGGCTCATAAAGGTTAGGAGGTTTGCACAGACAACACAGCAAGTGAGCAGCAAGTTAGGATTTGAACCTAGAGCCATCGGACTCCAAAACTCATGCTCTTTCTCCTACTCCCTTAACAGACAGCCAAGATCCTTGCCACCCTGAAAGTGTACAGGAGATCCAGGTAGTAAGGGAGAAAGAAGCAGCTGCTGGCCCCATAGAGTATAGAGCCAAGAAGAATCACTGGTCACACATGAGGCCAAGGGGCTGATATGACTTGTGTAAGATGTGACATTACACCTGGCAGTAACATATCTGAGGTATGGGCAGGATTGGGAATAAACTCCAGGGTTGCAATTTTCATCCCTTGGGCACAGTGAATTCTACTCTGCTCTTCCCAAGGGGAGGCAGAGTGCTAGGATGTGGCATATGATATGCACCAACTTTGAACCCCAACTGTGTAGGGTCCATGTTCTAACTCTGCCATTAATGTGATGAGTGACCCTTGGAAGCTAATGTGTACAAAGGATTCAAGGGAGGAAAAGGAAGTGTCACACAGCACAAATAAAAACCCTTCAGGCAGGTAGGGAGGTGGATGGGCTGGTTAGCTCCATGGCTGTTTCCTCTCCCAATGGAACGTTATGCTTCACAGGGGCAGCCATTGTATCTTATCCCTACTCTTTCTCAGCACCTGGCATATAAGACCTTGTGTGTAGACTGAACAAGCAAATCATCCAGAAGTGTCTGCTATGGAGTTGGTGCTCAGTGATGTCACTGGCTTCTCTAGTCCAGAAAAGCACAATGTACAACTGCCTGCTCTCTGAAGGTTTTCTGCCCCAAATGATAAGATTGTGTTAGGATCACCATGGGGGAGCAGGAGCTTCTTCTAGATGTCCACAGGCAGGACAGCAGAGGGGGCCTGCCTGCTTCCTGGCTGCCGGGAGGAACAAGAGTTGTAGATTATGAATCAGAATGTTTCTTTTCCATCCGTCCAGGAGAGCAACGATCAATTGACTGCTTACATTGTGTCTAGGCTGAACCTGCATTTTAACCCTAACAGCAGCCCACGGACATCCATAATACGGATGTGGAAACAAGGTGTCCAGTTAGAATTAAGCAAACGAAATAAAAGTGAAATGAGGCGTAGCCCTTGCCTGGCAGATGCTCTACCTCTACCCATGGAAGCTTGTCAGTGAGCCAACCATGATGACTCTGGATTGGAACTCAGCGTCTCTGTCTAAGCTGCCATCTGCTGGGTTGTGTTTTTCTCTCCTTTGCCACTGCCCCTCTCTGGATTTTCCTCCCCTGTGGAATTGGAGCACCTTCCCTGAGCTTGCATCTCAGCTCTTGGGTTCCAAGCTCTCCACATGCGCTCCTACCTACCTCTACAATACTGTCATCCCAGAAGTCAAGTCTCACGGATTTCACCTTGCTGACGTCGGGGAAGTTGCGGTGTACGCCCGAGCAGTGGAGACAGATGAAGATGCCCAGTTTGTACGAGGCCCAGTCAGGATCTGCAGGGCGGGAGCGCATGGCAGCGGATGGCAGCGGGAAGGGGACTGGGGACCCTGGGATAGGCAGGGCCCCCGACAGTTTGGATCCCAGGGCCATGGGGAGTGGAAATCCCGCCCCCCCCGCCATGACCTCCCCACCTTGCACAACGAAGTTGACTGCAGGAAACTTCTGGTAGCTTAGGACGTGGAAGCCACAGGACTGAGGGGGAACCGAGAGAAGAGGGAGGGAGGGAGGGAGGGACCCGCTGGGGGGGGGTGTGGGCAAGGAGCCACGTAAGTGGGGAGGTCTGAATCAAGACCCTCCCAATGTCTTTGGGGTCAGTGTGCTGGAGTGGGGAGCCGAGGAGGGGGCGGGGCGGGGTCCTTCGGAGGGTCGGGGTTCGGGGTCTGGACCGCAGGGGTGTGGGAAGTGCGGTAGTCCCAGCCTGGCTGAGAGTCTGGTGGGGGAAGTGAACAGGACACCCGGCTCCCAGACCTGGCCTTGGGGTCTCGGGGTCAGTGAGTGAGGGTGCGGTTCAGGATGTAAATGCGCGGAGTCCCAGCACGAGTGGGTCCCGCAAGGACGCTCCCGGGGAGGAGTGCGGAGGACCCGGGCCGTGGTGGCGCCCAGGGCTGCACCTGTCCCGCTCCCCGCGTCCTTACCCGCCGCCCCGCAGTCGGCGCAGTACGCATTGCCAGTGCCTGCCGCCTGCAGCAGCTCCAGCAGTCGCTTCTTGTTCCGCTCCCGGTCGCCCATGGCCGGCCCGGTGGGCTCAGCGGGGCTTAGCCCGGCTGCCTCCTGGCCGGTGGCCACCCATAGCCGTGCGCTTTCCCGACTAGGCAGAAGGGCCCAGCCGCTGGCGCCGCCTTCCTGGCGCTGGCTGAGGCAAGCCCCGCCCCCACTCCCGCCACGCCCCCCGGCTCTCTCCGCCCAACCACTAACCGCGCCCCCTATGGACTCTAGTTCCGCCCCCGGGCCCCTAGCCACGCCCCTATTCCCCTCTGCCACGCCTCCAGCCTCTCCGCCCAGCTACTGGGCACGCCCCCACGACCCCTTGCTCCTCTCCCAGGACATCTTGCTACGCCCCCAGGATCCCCGACCCTTCGCCATCCTCAGCAAGGCCTATCCCTCAGTCCACTGGTGGAAAGTACCGCAGCGTGTGATATCAAATCCTGATCTGGAGCCTGGCGCCAGGAGCTCACGCCTGTAATCCTGGCTCCTCAAGAGGCTGAGATCTGAGCAAAAAGGTTCAAAGCCAGCCTGAGCAGGAAAGTCCAGTAAGACGCTTAACTCCAGGGGCTGGGAAGGTGGCTCAGTGGTAGAGCGCTTGCCTTGCATGCATGAGGCCCTGGGTTCCATTCCTCAGCACCACATAAGCAAAAAGAAACAAGCTGGAAGTGGCGCTGTGGCTGAAGTGGTAGAGCGCTAGCCTTGAGCTGAAGAGCTGAGGGACAGCGCCCAGGCCCAGAGTTCAGGCCTCACTACCGGACCCCCCCCCCAAAAAAAAGAGTCTTATCTCCAATCAAGCGCCAAAAACTCAGAAGTAGAAGGAGGTATGGATCAAGAGGTAGAGTGCGAGCCTTGAGGAGGAAAAAAAGCTCAGCAACAGTGCCTAAGTCTTGAGTTCAAGCTCCAGGACTGGCACCAAAATAAATAATCCTGGTGTTCCATTTGCTAGCTGCAAGAACAACCTATTCAGAGTCCAGTTTTCAAGGAGGCAGGACATGTCCACATCTCTGTTTCTTGGGAAAATTAAACAGGTGCTAACTTCTGTTAAAGCCTTCTTCTGGTGTATATAGATATCCAAATGCCGCTTCCCCCAAAAGCCTTCCTTGCTACCCCTTCTCCAGCAATCTTTCCAGACCCTAGTCTACTCCTTGGTAGAATCCAAGAATCCTTTTTGGCCCTGAGTACTTTTATTCACCTGGCATCACCATAGTAACATACATTTGCGTTAATTCCACCCTCTGCCTCCAAGCATACACCACAACTTTCATTCTAGAGTTCCAAGCCAGCGGTGTTTATCCCTAGATCCTTCACAGCTTCTAGAAAGAGCACCTGGATATTTTTACAAGCCCAAAAAATGTTGCATGACCGTGTTCACCAGGAAGTGAGCCAAAGTGGCCACAGCTGGGAACTTATTGTGACATTCCATTACCATGAAGCAGGCAAGGATTAGGTGTTGAACTTCTTTAGTCCCTTTCCCTTCTTAATATTGGTGTGGGTTAATACTGGGTTTGAACTCAGGGACTGAGCACTATCCTTTAGCTTTTTTTTTAACCTGTGTGTTCACACACACACATGTGTGCTTGCACACGCACACGCATAGACACCAGGTCTGGGGCTTCAACTCAGGGCCTAGGCACTGTTGCTGTGCTTTTGTGCTCAAGGGTAGTGCTCTTCCACTTGAGCTGCAACTCTATTTCCAGCTTTTGGTGTTTACTTAGAGGTATGAGTCTTGTGGGCTTTCCTGCATGGACTGGCTTCAAATCTTGGTCCTCAGGTTCCACCCTCCTGAAGAGTTAGGATTACAGACATGAGTGAGCCACAGGTGCCTGGCAATGTTCCTTAGCTGTTCAAGCCTGGCACTCTACCTTTTTGAGGCACCATTCAATTTCGGCTTTTTAAGATGTATATATAAGTAATTGGATATAAGAGTCTCATAGACTTTTCTGCCCAGGCTAACTTCAAATCTCAATTCTCAGATCTCAGCCTACTGAGTATTATAGGTGTGAGCCACGGGCACCCAGCTTGCCTTCCCTTCTTGACACCATTCTCAGTGACTCCTGGCACATACATACTTGTCATCTCTTGAGCATCTGCCATATAAACATGGCTTAATGGTCATGATATTAGATTTCTATCCTGATGGACTGAGCTGATGTTCTAACAACCTGCCCATGTTCACTCACACACACACACACACACACACACACACACACACGATCACACTATACCACACCATGATATAATGGAATGAATCCAAGATGCCATGCATTCACAATTTGGATAGTGGCTCCATCACTTCCTAGCTGTTTGTTCTAGGACAAGTTCCTTCACTCTTCTGAGCCTAGACTCAGTTCTACCTAATAGGGTCATTGAAATGGCATGCAAGGCCCTCAAAACACAGTGGTCCCTTTGCTTCTCCTGCCCCTCAGCTTAGCACATGGGATTTCATCTGGAATGCTGTGTGTCATTTCTCATCAACTCAGCATGGAGGAGGTCAAGCCACCAAGCCCAGAGGAGGGAGGGGAACATTCCTGAGAACAAGCCTCCACAGGGGTCTTGACCATGTATGTCTTGTATGTCTTGGGGGGTGGGGAGGTATGAGGCCTAGCCCGGGAGCAGCCACTGGGGAAGCAGCAATTTAGCCAGTTGGGGTCAAGGGCAAGAGGCTGTTTACTAAATGAGCCCAGAGATGATTCATTTCCGCTGCTTTTAATGAAAAGGGGGACAGAAATAAATCTCCCAGGAGGAAGATGGGAAAGGCAGCCTAAGGTATGAAGGCAAAGGGAGGGGGAGGGGAAAAAAGAGGGGACAAGCAGAGGACTCTTCTCTGTCCATTATCCATGCAAAGTTGTGAGCATGATCCTGGTTTTTCAGACTCTAGCCATCTCCAGTCTATGCTCCTTGGCTTCTCTGAGTTGCTCTCTTCTGGTGCTTTGACTCTGTCTCCTCCCCAGAGGCTTCACAAAGCCACCCAGAAAATGCAGCATCTTGTTCCCAGAAAGGTTGAAAGGTCCCTTTAGTTTCCCCTCTTCCTTGCCTGATTTTTGGAGGTTTCAGTTTAACAGGAATCTAAGCCTTACGATAGAATTTCAGGCATCCTCAGAGGGAGAAAATATAGTAAGTTCTCTGGTACTCTCTGATAGATTTCTTTCCTTCCTTCCTTTATTCTGAGCTAGAAAGAGGAATGATTGTTAACACTGAGAGTTCTGCAGGTAACTCCATACATGGATGGGTTTAAGGTTCATGATCCCCTGGAGGACAGCAGGCAGAAGGCCAGTTTTCAGAAGAGAAGGCTGAACCTCAGAAGTCACGTAGTCAAAAAAGGAGAACAGGGGACTAAATTATATCTCCTGTCTCTGGGTCCCAAGGTATTTAATCAGATCCTCTCTGTTTCTGTTTGGTCCTCTCATGCTAGATTTTTTTTGTTTACTTCCATTAGTGTGTGTGTGTGTGTGTGTGTGTGTGTGTGTGTGTGTGTAAAGTGAGGAATTGATTATATACATTGTGAAATAATTATCACAATCAAGTAACACATCTATTGCCACCAGCACCCAGCCTTGTTTATCTTGTAACTGAAAACTTCCATCTTTTGTTTTCTTTATTTTTTTAAAATTTTTCTTAAGAAGGAAGGAAGGAAAGATAGAGGAAGGAAGTTAGGGAGGAAGGAAGGGAGGAAGGTAGAAAGGAAGGAAGGAAGAAAAAGAAATGCACAGAATTTCCTGAAGTCTTTGTGGATGCTCTAATGTTGGGCTAGGTGCTCTTCTTGGATCCTCTGCAGACTCAGGGCAGTGGAACATCTGTGGGAATATCTTTTTTATTATTGTTGTTGGTTGTGGGGCCTGAACTCTGGGCCTGGGCACTGTCCCTTAGCTCTTCAGCTCAAGGCTAGCACTCTACCACTTGAGCCACAGCACCACTTCTGGCTTTTTCTACTTATGTGGTGCTGAAGAACTGAATCCAGGGCCTCATGCATGCAAGGCAAACACTCTACCACTGAACCACCTTCCCAGCCCCATACATCCTTTATTTTCATTATGTCAAAAACATTTCATCATCCTTTTGTAGCCCACTCACTTTGTAGCTCACTCCTGGGTATAGGATAAAAAAAAATCTGAGGGCTGGGAAGGTGGCTCAGTGGTAGAGTGCTTGCTTTGCATGCCTGAGGCTCTGGGTTCGATTCCTTAGCACCACATAAGCAAAAAATGAAAAAAGCCAGAAGTGGTACTGTGGCTCAAATGGTAGAGCTCTAGCCTTGAGCTGAAGAGCTGAGGGACAGCGCCCAGGCCCAGAGTTCAGGCCCCAAGACCGGATCCAAAAAAATAAAAATAAAAAGAATAAAAATCTGAGCTCATTTTCTGTGTTCAGAAGCCAGAAGCTGGTCACCAGCTAGCGACATGGCTCAAATAAGTCATGAGTTCAGTCCCCAGTACTGAAGCGAATGAATTGGAATGAATGAATGAAAAGCTGCACTAGGACCCAAAGGAGGATATTCTTAGGGTAGGAGGAAGACACATAAGTAAAGGAACAAAGGGTGAACAAATTCAGCAGTGGTACTCACTAGATACCATGTTGAAAATGACCTATACAACTCGTGGGTGGGGATGGAAGGGAAAAACTGGGAGAGAACAAGGGAAGGGGTGACATTGTCCAAAAAGAAATGTACTCATTACCTTACTTATGAAACAATAACCCCTCTGTACATCACCTTTATAATAACAATAAAACAGATTTAATAATAATAATAAAAGAAGTTGCTCCCAAGGGAAGAGGCTGTCACTCTTCAGGGAGATTCTGAGCATGGTGGTCCAGCCTTGAGGGTCAGGGTGAGTTGAGGCAGCCTCTCTAGGGTGTTTGATCCAGACAACAGCAGTTGGGTGAGGGAGAAGCCGAGGCCCTAGAACAGAATGTCCTCTGTAAATAAAGCTCCCAGTGGCCCTCAGCGCACAAACATCCACCCCAACCACTGCTCAGCCAAGTGGAGTTGAACCACAGCAAGGCTGGAAGAAAGCCTTCAAGCACATTCCCAGGGACAGGCTCAGGATCCCTAGGGAAGAGAGCATGACCCTTTTGTCAATTTAAATAATTATGTTTATTAGTTTTAGACTTAAAAAAACAATAGTTCTAGAGAATTTGGAAAACACAGCACTGAAAAAAGAAAATACAGCACCCCGTGAGGGCCTTCATTTCTCCAGGGACCACAGCAGGCCAGGTGCAAAGGATTCCACTTGTTCTTTGTCACAACACCAACAAACTTTATGCCCATTTTACAGATGAGATAACTGTGGATCAAAGAGGTGTAGACACATTCATCTGTGGTCACATAGCTGACATGCTGAGTGATGCCTGCTCCTGAAGCTAGTCGATCCCAGTTTGCCTCGGGCCCTTCTTACCAACACATTAGGTTGAACCATATGAATAAACCAGACATGATAGCAATGTCATGCAATTCCAACCTATGTTTTAAATAGCCCTGATACAAACATCATTAATATTTCTGTAGGGCTGAGGAAATGCATTAGTGTTAAGTGCCTGCCTAACACATGCGAGGCCTTAAGTTCAACCCCTAGTACTGCTATTACTGCTCTGTGTGTGTGTGTGTGTGTGTGTGTGTGTAAGAAACAGGAGGCAGGGCCAGGCGCCGGTGGCTCACGCCTGTAATCCTAGCTACTCAGGAGGCTGAGATCTGAGGATCTCGGTTCAAAACCAGCCAGGGCAGGAAAGTCCATGAGACTCTTATCTCCAATAAACCACTAGAAAACCAGAAGTGGTGCTGTGGCTCAAACGGTAGAGTGCTCACCTTGAGCTGAAGAGTGCAGGGACAGTGCCCAGGCCCAGAGTTCAAGCCTCATGACCAACAAAAAGAAAAAAAGGAAAGAAATGGGAAGCAGGAATGAAAGACAGTTGGCAATCAGTCAGGCAAGCAGCCACGCAGAAGAATCACATTGAATTTACCTACATACTTCTATGTTGACTGTTACTTTATCTTCCACAACAGGGAGCAGCTGAAAACCGAAGGGACACTTTAGGACAACACTGTCAAAAAATTTGCTCACCAGCCGGGCGCTGGTGGCTCACGCCTGTAATCCTAGCTACTCAGGAGGCTGAGATCTGAGGATCGAGGTTCAAAGCCAGCCCGGGCAGGAAAGACC